GAGAGAGGGCAAGGGACTGGGCGCTGGCATACCAGGGGGGGCAGGGTGGTGGGCGGCGACCGCCGCATACCGTCCTACGGCGGGGATTATCGCTACGCCAGGGAAGACAAGGGCGTCGAAGTGCAGCTGCTGCTGTTCGAATCGTTCGGCGGGTTCGGAAAGGGGGTCCGTGAGATCCTCCCTCCGGAGAGCGGCGGACGTGCTACAGAACAAGCTGACGCGGGCCCAGTACCTCGATGAGGTGACTTGGACCACCAAGAGCTGGCTGGGGCTGCAGAAGCAGCGCATCTCAGTCGTTCTTCACACGGCCAGAGGCCACTTCTTCAGGCTGGGAACCGAGGGGTGGCCACCCTCCTCGTCGAGGTGTGCGCCAAACCACTTCGGCGGCGCGCGCTCCCCTGTGCGTCTGTGTCACCCTCCAGGCCCTCACGCCCCCCCGGCATGTCCACCGGCAAGGAGGCTTCCGTGCCGAGTGACGCGGCGGCCCCGGACAGACTCAACGGCAGCGTCGGCGCCGCTGCCAAGCGGCCGCGCGACAGCGAGGGTATTCACCACTTGAGGTGGGACGGTCGAGGCACACGACGGAGCCATCGCGAGCGGCCTTCTACACCGCCCGCCGCCGGCGCAGGCGCGGAGCGCTACGGCGGACCTGCTTCAAACCCCAAGGCGGAGGCGCTGAGCGAGAATCTGGGCTGCGCGCACGCGCATGGCTGCTGCGAGAGCTCGGAGGCGGAGCTTGCTCGACGAGAGCTGCTCGAGCTCATCACTGCGCCCGACGCTGACGTTGGTGGCGCGATCAAGCTCTTATTTTCTCAGCCTCGCACCTCTTCTTCCCGTCGCACGCGGGCTGTCGCAGGGCACTTGGAATATGACTCGGGCGAGGATGCGTCAGCACGAGTACTATTTCATCGTGCAGCGCAGGCTGGCTCGCCACTACTGTTGGCTGGAGCTCCTCTCCCGCCCGACGTCGGTGATGGCGCATGACACGCGATCACTGTACGCATCGTGCTTCCTGTGTGTGTCTCCCCCCTCCCCGCCGCAGAGCCGCTGCTGGGTGTCGGCCGCGCATCTCCTCACGTCCCGCGCCTGTCCTTTACGGCATTTGTGTGGCCCATTTTCTGTGCATCGTTAGAAGCTGCGCAGGCCTCCCCGGTTACAATCGCCGCGCGCACACGACACGCGACAGCCGACACCTCGACAGGAGAGATTTTGACGTTCACGCACTTCTCGCGTGAGACTTGACTTCAGACGATATGCGAGACAGATATATCTCAGAGTGAGAGGACAGCCTGAGCCTCGGAGGAGAGACGCAGCTCGCAGGTACAGGCGTGACAGACAGTGCACTCTCACACACGAGACACACTGATGGAAAGGGCGGAGCGGCGGCGGCGACGGCGGCAGCGGTGCGCGGGCGGAGCAGCGACTGCCCGGGCGGTCGCTGCTCCGTCGGTCCGTGCCGGAGCGCGTCAGGCCAGGGGGCAGGGCGCAAGCGTCCCCCTGGTGGCGGCGCAGGGAAACGCGGAGACGCGAGCGTTTCGCACGCCGCGAAGCGGACGGTGACGGCGCGGTGGGTGACGGGGCTAGAGAGCAGCCAACACCCGACGCTCGCAAACGACGTCGGTGCTGGACGCCTGCGTAGGGGCCGCGGCAAGGCGGAGCTGGCTGAGGCACCAAGCGCCGGCGGGGAGCTCCCGGACTCATGTGTGCGAGCGCATGCCCTCCCACCTAATCACCGCTGCATAGTATGGCTTCCGAGGCTGAACCGCTCCGCAACGGTTGGTAGCTCGACCTGCACATTGACAAAGTGCGTTTACCTGTCAGTCGTCGACGTCGCGTGCGAGATCCAATATCGCCGATCGATAGCAATCTGAGAGGATAGGGATCCGTGTCAGCATGCCGTAGCCGAGGAGTGCCGCGCTTGGGGGTTGGGGCGCGCGCGCATTGGCTTCACATTCGGTCTCAGCGCTCGGGCCGGCGCCGGGGGTCATGGGGTGACACTCGGTCACGCTCCGGCGCTTCGGGGGGGCTACAGCGGGCAGTGCGCGAAACCACTTCGCATGGCCACCCGCGACCCCACTTTGGACCGGCGAGCGCACTTGCTCGGTTCCCAGCCTGAAAATGTAACCTCGGCCATCGCAGAGCAGGTCGTGAATGAGCTTGCCTGTGGCGGGGGTGGGCGGGTGCACGGAGCTAAGTGCCTCGCCACCCTCGCAGGAGTCGCTTAGGCGGCTCCCGTGGTGTACCTGTGTTAGTGCCAGTGCGCGCCAGTCCCGTGCCCAGTGTTGTGCGAGGGAGTTTTGTTGTAAAATTCTAAAAAATCGTGTTCACACCGAATCAAGACTGTTCGGCCGGCTCTTCCGCCGATCACAGGCGCATCGGCGTTCCGAGAGTGGTGTGTTTGCATGGCTCCCCTCCTCCTCCACGAGCCCGAGGCCACGCCCGTCGAAGAGAAGCCCTCGCCAACACCCGCCGCCGCCGCCGCCGCGCCCGCCGCCGCCCCTCCGCGCGTCGCCGACGACGTCGCGCAGTTGGCTCCGCTCTCGCACCGCCCCGGCTTCGCTGGCCCTCTGGTGCTGGCTCCGCCGATATTGCCGGGGCCGCTGGGCTCCGAGGCCGAGGCCGCCGCGCCGCCGCCCATATTGCCGCCCGCCGTGCCCGCCGCCGTCGCCCCGCTTCTTGTCCCCCACGCCGCCGCAGCGCCTGCGAGGCCTCCGGGAGGGCCGGCGCTGCACGACGCGCCGGCGAGAAGCGCACGCGGACAGCCCGTCATGTCTTCGCACGCGCCCGCGGATGTCGTCTTTGTGACCAAGCGCGCCTGCCGCGGCTGCCAAAAGGCGAAGGCCGCGTGCAGCCCGCACCAGCGGCCGTGCGCGCGGTGCGTCAAGCTAAACATTGTGTGTGAGAGCGACCTGCCTCCCGTCAAGACGGCGTGCACCGAGTGCCGGCGCGCAAAGGTCAAGTGCCTCTTCGGCGGCGCCGTGCAGGACTCCTCCTCCTCCTCCTCAGGCGCCAGGGAGTCGTCCGCACCGCACCCCACCCGACAATTCTTCCGTCACGACCCGCCACTGCAACCGTTTAGCCGCGGTGCCGCGAGGGGCTGCCTGCCCGTTCCCCCACCACATCGTGAGGTGTGAAGAGACGCCGTTCACAGCTTACCCAGCGCCTCGCGGCGCCCGACCTGTTCACATCGTGATGTGTGGAGAAGTGCACCTGACCTGACCTGACCTGACTTGACCTGACCTAATCACCCCCACCCCCAGATCGTGCGTGTGGAGACGCCTGACCGCACCCCCTCCCCGCGCCCAGACTCGCGGCGCTGCGATCGCTGCGTCCGCCTCAACCTCGCCTGCTCGCCGCACGTGCCCGGGAAGCGCAAGCGGAACGAGCGAGGGTCGACGCCGCCAGAGAGGCCTCGCGCCGCCCTCAAGGTGGGGGGATGCGCCGAGAGACAGCCGAGAACCGCAGCCGAAGCCGAGAGACAACCGAGAACAACCGAGAACAGCGGAGAACAACCGAGACGCAGCCGAGACGCAGCCGAGACACAGCCGAGACACAGCCGAGAGGCAGCCGAGAGGCAGCCGAGAGGCAGCCGAGAGGCAGCCGAGAGGCAGCCGAGAGGCAGCCGAGAGGGCAGCCGAGAGGCAGCGGAGAGGGCAGCGGAGAGGCAGCCGAGAGGCAGCCGAGAGGCAGCCGAGAGACAGCCGCAGCTCTATGCAACGGGGCGGCGAGCCGCGCTGAAGACGAGGGAGGGCAGACGCCGGTGTCGACTCTGCGCGGGCGCGCCACTAGGCCAGCGCGTCGCCGGCTGGCGTGCTGCCAGGTTTGCACTTTTGCGCCAGTGAGTTGCCTCGGAGGCCTCTCCTCTCGGCTGATCCGTTTTTACGCGCGCCGCCAGGCTTGCACGAGCCGCATGTGTTCGGGCGCTTCAAGGCCGCCGGCAAAGGCTCCAGCGCCGCCGAGCAGCGCGCCGCCGCGGTGGCCTATGCCGCGCCGCGGAGGCATGCCACCCGCTGGTGGAGTGATCCATGGGTGAGTCTGGACTAGGTGGCCTATGCCGCGGCGCGGAGGCAGCTGGAGGCGAGCGGCGCCTGCGAGTCGGGCTTTGGAGGCTCTCGCCCCGGGAATGGCTCGCGGAGATGACATCTCCCCATATCTCCCCATATCTCCCGACATCTCCCTTGATTAGGCTCGGCCGAGGAATGGCTCGCCGCAATGACTTCTGCGGCGATGGCCACCCCAGCGCTCGCGCCGCCGCCGCCGCCGCCGCCGCCGCCGCCGCAGCAGCAGCAGCAGCAACCGCCGCCGCAGCAGCCGCCACGGCAGCCGCAGCAGCCGCCGCAGCCTTCGGAAGCGGTGCTGTTGCTCCCTGCAGCTGCGCCTGCTTTGCTACCCGGCGGCGCGGGCGCGCATCCTGCTCGGCCGCCGCCCGCCCGCGCGACGGCAGAGGATGGCGAGGCGGGTGGGGCGACGAGGACTGCCGCGATTGTGAGGGAGGGCGCTGCTGCAGGTGCGATCATGGCTTTCCTCTCGCTCCCCCCCCCCCCTCTCGTCGCCGCTCTCTCTCTCTCTCTTTCTCTCTCTCTTTCTCTCTCTCTTTCTCTCTCTCTCTCTCTCTCTGGTTCCTTCTGTTAA